TTGTTGTTGTTGTTGTTGTTGTTGTCCACATTACAAGCCGCCTCCCTGGCAAAACCCCCTCCTCGCACGTCGGTGCTACAAACGCATGCCTCTTAATACGGAGTCATTTGCTGTATGGAATGAATTATATGAATGAACGAGTGAGTGGGTGAAATTGTGCTTGTGTGTTGTCGTGTGTCCTACGTCCTTGTCCCAGTGCACCCGGCCTTCTCGTTTTTTTTCATGTATGTCTGGTTGGGTAACTACTGTACGATACCTCTGTTGTTGTTGTTGTTGCTTATGCCGCCAAAGCGTACTATTATTTGACTTTTGGAATGAAAATTTGACAGTCGATCGAACAGAACGCGGTGCCTTAAGAGCGAGCAACTGGTGCATGGTTGGATTGAGCCTCTTCCCCCCGCCCGTCGTGTTCGTTGCAGGCGTTTCTGTTCGTGTCGTTGTTGTTGTTGTTGTTGTTGTTGTTGTTGTTGTTGTTGTTGTTGTTGTTGTTGTTTTTGGCTCATGGGGGGGGGTAGCTTCCGCCCCCGTCTTTCGTCGTGTGCCCCGCGCCCCATGTGCTCACCGCATCTCCGCTCTCTCTTTGTGATGCTACCAAGGCGTGTGATTTTGACCCTTTGAATGAAGCTGTGTGACCTCTGGGCCGAAGATTCGATTGTCAGCTTATCGTTGCCTCTGTTGTTGTTGTTGTTGTTGTTATTGTTGTTGCTGTTGTTGTTGTTGTTAATTCATAGGAAATGGTGACAAACCGGTCTCATTCATTCATTCCTAACTTCGTAAACCCTCCAGCTCACAACGACTGAATGGCTCGCAGTTTCCCACCTTCGCTCATCTTTTTTTCTTTTGGTCTTGCACGGTTCGTCTACTATCTCCATGCAGGCGCGGCCGGAACGCTCTACGGCCGCGAAAAGGGGGGCGACGGCAGATCGCTCTCTTCGGAACAAGGAGCTTCTATTCGCCCCGCCGACACCTCGGCGCAGTGGACGGAACACGCTGTCGAAGAACCCCTCAGGGCAGAGCCAGCAACGTGCTCCAACTGTGAAGAGCCCAGAGAGCTTTCGTGGTTCTTCTACGGTGGAGGGACGCGCAGAGTGGTGGTACTGGACCACAAGGTTGGCCTACACAGATGCAACAAGTACGCCATCAAACCCCGTGGCGTGTTCAAGCCTACCGACGAGAAGGTGAAAACGATCACCAAGGATGGCATCCGCAAGGCAGTCAGGAGGGAGGCGAAGCGGGGGGCCAAAAAGGCGTCGGGGGGCAACTAGTTCAGGGGGGTGGCAGGTGTTGCCCTGTCGACAGTTGAGACAGATGGGTCGCGCGTTTTGATCGCCGGTAGCCTGCGAGAGTTGGTCACGACGATGTGTCCACACTTTGGTGGCGTGTTATATACGGGGGCTGGCCACATCCTTCCTGGGTAGACGGGAGACCATTCAGTTTTTTCTGTTCCCTCGGGCGATTGAAACGACGCGGTTTGCCACCGGGCAACACCACCTTTTTTGGCGTACTTGTATATTGGATGTTGGCGGTGTGAAGTGTGGATTTAGCAAGGAAAATGGTCGGCAGCGCGTGTTGCCGTAGAACCATCCGCCCCGTCATTTCTGCTCCGGAGGTGTGGCAGAGAGAGATTTTTTTTCGTTTTCCATCATCCTTTGCTCCGTTGCATATATAGTTTTAGTCAGCAGATCCGGCGTTCATATGTCCTCACTCGGATGTGGTTTTGAAGGTGGCTTTACCATCACCACCCGTTTGAAGGTGGGTGTTAGGAGGTCACACGCGATTGATTACAGGTTTTAGGAGGTCACACGCGAGAGCATTATTATTATAGCCTTGGGCGGTGTGTTTTATCGGGTGCCGTGTGTTCCTCATTATGTTTTGTTCCAGAAGAGCACGATTTTGACAATTCGATGCGAAAGATGTTGTGTCACAGACTCTCACAGAAGCAGCATTTGTTGCTACGAAACAATGAAACCGCGATCAAGGTACGAGTAGAGAACAGGTGTTTCTCCCGGGGCGGTAGTCGTAGTCAATAATAGGACGTGTTTGAACATTTTGTTTCGTACACGAGACATAGGTGGTGGCGGTGGGAAGCTTTGTTGAACACCTGCGTGAAAATCTTGTGTGACAATCGAAATTTAGTTGAACATTGTGTGAAACTTTGTGTGTGCGTGTGTTTTTATTATTAGCATCGACCGCGCTAACCGGCTGACCAATGAAAAGACGTCAGTCTTAGTGCGGTTGAAAACACAAAACACTTCTATCTACCATGAACTGGGACCCCGTGAGGGGGCAGCATGGGGGAGGCTAAACTATCCTTCGGATTAAAAACAGAAACAGCAGCAACAGACGAAAAATGCACGCGTCTACCAAGGCTATTACCTAGTACTCGAGTTCGTTTAGGAGTACTTTCACCAGTGTCCTCCTTGTTTTCGCTACCATCATTCTGATCCTCATTTCGACAAGAAGAATCTCTGGGCAGTTCTTCCCTAGCCCTACGTTTCTTGTTGTGGGGAAGGTCATCTGGCTCAAACCCTTTGCT